TTTTAAAAAAAACACCAAATAAAATGATTAAATAACGTCATTGATAAGCTTTGAACCATGGATGGAGTACACCAAAGATTTTGCAAACTAGTAGCCACAGTGATTTTAAAAAAAATTGGAATGTTCACCTCATGGGGAATCTTTAAAGGTGGTTCACGTTGTTTGTGGTTGGGTCGGGTTGTTGGTTTTTCTGGGTTTTGTAAAGTTACAGCTTTGTTTTATTGTACGTGATGTCCTATAAAGATGATCTATGTCTGGGACACCTCCTTTGAAAGAGGACCAGGGTGCTATCCATTTAAAGAGAATGCAGTCAAGCAGTAAATTTAGGGGGCCTTCTTCTCTTTTCATATTGACTGTATCTGAGCCAGCAGTTGGTCTTTGATGTTGTAACAATAGAGCATCGGCAGAGAGGAGGGTTAGGGCTTGAACAATGTTGAAATGAGGCTGCATTCATTAATTTTCATGCCAGGGGCTTCTATGCTTTGTTGCTTGCAGGAAGGAACCGTGTACTGTGGGTATTACAGTTCTTACAGACTTTCATCTGAAGCCTCTGTGTTAAATATTTTTAATTATAAACCAGGTGTTCTGGAAACCCGGACTATCACTTAGAGTCCATTATTAGCTTCAAAAAAGGCTTCAGGTCTACTGTTTCTCTTCTCAATGGTCCAATGGTCTGCTATACATGGCATAGGAGTAATCCAGGTGCGCTTGTAACAAAATTTCAAAGCTACATATATTTGTTTCACTAGCCAGCTACTTTGGGAATTTAAACTAATTGATATCTTATTAAAGATTATACAACCTCAGAAATTAAGCTAAGAGGTCATAAGCATTCATGATGGTTCTTATATTTTACATATTCCAGAAAGCAGGGTAGTTATTATTCTTATGACATTTATTGAATGTAGAGAATTACCCATCTTAATGTATTATGAATTTGTAGCATGAACTCTAGCATTTAGTCTGATGCAGAAAGCTGAAAAGTTAAAAAGAGGTTTAAAAAGTTAAGAGTTAAAAAGAGTTGAAAAGCTTTGACCAGCAAGAGGAGAGACAACTTTATGAAAATTCTGCAACCATATTAAATATTTTACTTGTTTCTTTCATTAGATTTAGACCAACCAAACCAATAAATGAATAAAATACAAAGAAAATTAATTTTAAACAAAGCCAGGATGACATTGTACAATAACAAGCATAACATCTAAACAGTAGAAGGCTACTAGTTCTGTCCCTGTAATTGCCTTCGAGTGTCATCTGGAGTTATGCCTAACTAAGTTATGCCTAGGCAAGTCAATAAAAAGAATTGTCCTCTTGTGTTTTTATAGAAGCTTTGGAAGGGAGGGTTTCTGTCTATCTCTCTATCGTCCGTCCGTCCATCTGTCCGTCCATCTGTCTGTCCGTCCATCCGTCCATCCATCCATCCATCCATCCATCTATCTATCTATCTTTTATCTATCTACCTACCTACCTACCTACCTACCTACCTACCTACCTACCTACCTACCTACCTACCTATCTACCTATCTATCTATCTATCTATCTATCTATCTATCTATCTATCTATCTATCTATCTATCTATCATTTCTGCCTCTACCTTTCTAAATAACTATTTCACTCCAACACTGTGATGGGTTGTTATTTTCTCTTAACGTGGCATTTGGGTCCTAAATATGAAAAGTGGAACATTTTCTCTGGCTTAGATCTTACGTAGAGGCCTTGGAAACAAACTTTATTTCACTTCAACTTGCTTCCAGGCTCAACTACGTCAAACTTTAAATGAAGAATACCACCGATGAGACTTCCTTGTCAGCCAAAGTATCTTTTGCTTAAACAGGTTGCTTGTCTCGGGATCCTTCTGTTTCCTTTTCTTTCCTCTTTGTAAATGTAGTATTTTTCCTACTGCATACTTAATGTTATTTTTAGCTTCTAAATGAATAGTGAACTCTTCTTGTTTTTTCTACACCATATAAACAAAATGTTTTTTTTACAAAATATTATTTGGCAGATGATAATTCCAGAAATAAATCTGGAACAAGATGTTGAATATTTTAAGAGATAGGCAGGAAAAAATGATTATAGAACATCTGTCTGCTGGAAACCTGAAACAGCTGTGCGAAATCTTTGAAATAGACCACATAGATTCAGATTCAGATTTAATTTATTTGTATGCCGCCCTTCTCCGGGAGGGACTCAGGGCGGCGAACAACTCAAAAGGGGAAAGGGGATACAAACACAATACATATAATTAAAATACACAAGAGTCATACACATAGATTTAAAGCAAATAGTTAACTTTCATGGCCATCATTAAAAGCCTAACTGAAATCAACATGAGGAAGGACCTTCTAGATCAGGGCTGTCAAACTCCCAGCCCGTGGGCTGGATGTGTCACGTGCTGGCCATGCCCATGCCCAGTTTAGTGAAGGGGAAAAAAGTCCCGATATGTCACATGACACCACTGTGATGACGTGAGTTTGACACCCCTGTTTTAGAACGTCCAAAAACTGCCTTTCTCATTAATTAAATTATAACTCTTATCCTCCCTAGTCAGAGTAGCCAACAAGGGTTGTAATGCACATATCTGGAGAGCAACAAATTGGGAAAGACAGTTCTAGACAGTGATGATATACTTGAGCAGCAAAAAGTCATAGAGGACAAAGAGCCACATTGCTACATGACCAATAACTGCAGGACACAAAGGAATAGCTGGCCTGCCAATCAGCTGTTGGGTGGCTAGCAATACTGGCAGCAATAGAGCTGGCAATGTCGATGAGGCCTGGAGATGTGACAAGCATTCAGTAGCATGTCTTTCAGGGAGGAGGTGGCAGTGAAAAATGAAGTAGCAGCAGATCCTTCCTGGCAGTAGCAACATTTAGTCTCAGTTTAAAAAAAACACCAGTAGGCTGCATAAGGCTGCTTGGTGGGTCACAAAGTGAGGACAGGAAACTTTGTGACCTGTAGTTTCTATAGACAAAGGCCAGGAGCTTTAGTCCAAAATATATAAGAGATTTAGAGACACTGTATGGCTGAGATTAAATTATACTAGTACATGTGAGATCCAAGTTCAACTCTATTCAATCAAAAAGACCTTTGCAGATCTTGAGCCAGCCATCCTTTCATTAGACAACTCATTTTATGATGTTTGTCTATGGGTATCAAGGGGAAATAACTTGTCATTCTGAGACCTCTAGAACAGGGGTTTCCAACCTTGGCAACTTTAAACCTGGGACTTCAACTCCCAGAATTCCCCAGTAGCTTGGCTGGCTGGGGAATTCTGGGAATTGAAGTCCACTAGGCTTAAAGCTGCCAAGGTTGGAGACCCCTGTTCTAGAAGTAAGCTAAGATGTAAACATATGAATACACATTTTTATAATGAGCCAAAATGTATCACTAAGACCATGTCCATCATACAACAGATTATATGGATTTTTGTTCATTCCTGTTCATCTGTTGCTCTTTGGAGTCATTAGAAATATCTTTAAAACACAGCACAAACTTCTTATATATAACTTTCCTCCTTCTAGATTTAGGGCCATCTCTGTAATTGTACCGGTCTCCTGAGATTTCTGATTTATGTTTAAAGTCCCAGCTTTTACCCAAACACAGGTTTTAGAAGAGGGCAATTGTTCCCAAAGTTGAGCTACTCCTTCAAGGCGCTTTATAGGGCATGGGGAATGTTCCTTTGCCTGCTTTTCAGCTCCAAATTGTGGAGAAAGGGAACAGTGCAACATGTTTATTAGGAATAATGGCACACTCCCCATTGTGATTGTTATATTTGTGCCCATGAACTAAGTTTCACTATTTTCAAAAATGGATATTGACATAGCGTTTGAACTTTTGGATCTTCTTGTTTCCTCTTCTGCACCCCAGTTTAGTTGTGTTCATCACAAATGAGCAACCCATAGCTTCTTATACAAGCACTAACGTTTTTTAATAATGCCTGGCACTCTGTTCTCTTTTCTGCATCTGTCTCAATTTAATTTTCATATTTTCAAGAATGTAGCTCTCATATTAGATAGCAACTGAAAACATATGGATCCGGCTGTTAAAAATTCCAACTTTTACACCAGCAAACTAGCAAGGGAAAAACTTCCACTGCCACTTTCTATTAATTCCTTGCCCTGTCAATGCAAAAGTCATATAGCTGTACTGCCAATTTCTTTCTTGTATTGCTAAACATCAAGTGAAGGGACAGGATTGGGATATACTGAGGAGTAGCACAGTCTATGTAGTATGGTACACAAGGTATCTGCAGAGATTTCATCAAAATAATATGTGTGTTGTGATGCCACAACAAGGCAGCAAGCTTGGCACCGTATATATCTGTGAGCAACATAATGAATCAACTATAATAGGAGGCTGTTCCATCAACAACATCACAATGCACATTTTATTTCTCCTCTCTTGCCTTTGAATATATGCTGTAAATGTTTTGGACATTTTCTTGATTGTAGACATGCCATTGCAAAGGCCATGAGCTTGATTCTTTTCTGCTTGTGTCTTTTCATTTCACTGGCACAAAGCTTTTGATAGCTTTAATGTAAGCCACTCTGGAAGATGGATCCACTGGTGCCCTTCCTCTTTGATTGAAGGATTCTTTTTCATGCAGAAAGATCTTTTCCAAATTAACACCAGAATTTTGTATCCTAAAGGTTCAAGGCCACAAAGCATTCCATAGGGCATGAGATACAACATCTCACCATTTTTGCAGAAATGTACACAATAAAGCACCTCTGCCAGAATCAGTAGGGTGTATAGGAAGCAAGTGAGTTCCATATAATGACTTAGATGTCATGATGTCATACAAACAGTACATATTGTGTCATTTGTTTTATAAAGCATCACGCACAAGTTGTCATTTTCCCTTTTGCCTTCCTCTACCCACAGAATTCTGTCCACAACAGAACTACATCTGTTAAACCTAGCTATATCTAGCCTAATATCTTTCTTGGATCTACAAAAATTGAAGTTCTTGCCTTTTTTTTCTTTGTCCTCCTAGGAAATCCTCCACACAGAGAGCCTTTCATCTCTTGAAAGCAGCTTCACATTAGACCCAGAAGATCAACAGAATTACCCTGGTCACCAGGCAGCACACAGGTCATTGGCCAAGCAGCGATTCAGGCAGCAGAATGGGCATACATCTTTGCAAAGAGATGGACCCAGATCTTTCCTTTTCGATCTTCCAAATTTTCCTGACTTCTCAAAGGCAGATATCAATGGGCAAAACCCTAACATCCAGGTAAAGCTCTTCTGTTTTATTCTTTGAATCTGATTTTAAAGCAATCATGGACTAAACATGTACCTTTTTAAAAAAGCACTTTCACATATCAGGAACAAATGCGGGGGGGGGGAGATATAATAATTGGCATTTCATACTATAAAGGGAATAAATAATGTTGCATGAACTCTAGTAAATATTTGTGCACTATGTGAAAAAAATATGAAAATGGTAGGTGCAGGAAAAGAATGTTTTGTTAAATTCCTGTATTTTTGCTCTTTGGTATAGCTGACATCACTATTGAATTAAATGTCCACCTTATTGATTGATCGATCGATTAATTGACTTGAAATCCCATTAGTCTTGGTGTAATATCAAACAGACTACAGACTTATCTCCTAATGTGAACAAGCAGAAAAGGAAAGTGGAAATTAATGTGAGAATGATTGACTTTTCCTTGGATGATTTTTTAAAAATTACTAACAGGGTCTCACCACAGCATCTGTAGTGATAAAATGTATACAGTTAAAGGCATAGTTTCTTTCAATTTTAATTTAAATTGGCTGACTTCTCCTGAGGATTTTGGACCACAACTAAATCAGAACGAACCTGGAATCTTTTAGACCAACGTTATTTTGGAAACCAGCTTTTGTATCTTTATTCAGGATTATCATAACTGGATTGAAAAAAAAAATGGGATAACCATTAATTGGCAGCAAACAGATTTCTTTTTCCTTTGCTGCTGTCTCATGGTCATCTGAATTTTTGTAGGCCAGATCAGGGACCTTATATTTAGAATCACCATTAGATCTCAAGCAAATTCTTCTGCAATCATCTCTTAGAATATTTCCAGTATTCTAAAATAGAATGTTTGCCTATGAATAGAACTGAATACTGTTTATCTGTGAAATGTTCTCTTTCATGGTCCAGCACAGGCATTCAAATAGATATCTGTAAAGTAGTCAATTTCTTCTTCTTTTGTCTTCTCTCTACCCATTTTAGGCTTAATATGAATGAGTATTTATTTATGCCTGCCTTGCCCATTGGCCATTCCAGCTGGGAATTCTGGAAGCTGTCACTCTAAATGCATCTGGAGACTGGGGAAGGGCAGCTTCAATATTTCCACTTCAAAGTAGCAATCATCCACTGCTTAGAAAGATTTTCTAGGATTGTATTAACCTAGTGCCAGTGGAAATGAGCACAGTGCCTATCTGTTTACTGATTGTTTGCCTGCATCTGTTTCAGTAACAAAATATTTTATTCAGCTCCTCACAATCATTTGAAAGGGTAACCCGAGCAGCTGTTACTTTTGTGTTACAGCTGCTTTTTAAAATTTGATTGCCAAATCAGCAGCCAAATGCACCACTGCACTCAAGTAAGTGAATTCCCAGGAAGTTCTTGAAAATGAGGTACTTTTAAAGATATTTCCTTGGGGAGCATAGATTTTTTCTCTCTAAGAAGCTCTTTTGTTAATGGGCACCGATTTGACACATGCCAACTCATGCAGTCAGGCTGGCATAGCAAAGCTATTCACCAGGCAACAGGTTCACTTTCTTCTCCCTGGAAAGAAAGGGAAGTCATGTGTAAGCAAAAGGACTTGGCTGCCAAGTCATTTTATGTGTGATGTACGTTTTTGCTTCTCAAGCCTATTTAAATAGCGCCTTAGTTCCAGGAGGTCCTGAAATTAGGTCCGATATTTCATTTCTTGACCTGAATGTTCCCTTTCTTCCAATAACTATTTCCCATACTTTCATAGAGGGAGCCCTAATAACCATTTGCCACAAAATCAAATATGACCTGTTGCACGTTGAAGGCCAACCAAATCACAGTATGAGGTAGGATTTCATGAATTAAAGTTCCCTTCTTCAATTATGTTTGAGATGTTTCCTCTTTAGGCAGGGATGCATCTCACTGTATGGCATAATTTCTCCATCAAATGTCTGTGTATGTTTAAAAATACTGTACATTTCTTTATTCCATATAAAAACATGCATAGACATACACAGTGTTGCACTGAAATACAGTTGATCTGAAAAAATGGATATGGTATTACTGGAAATTAGGAACGCACTGTTAATACAAACAATGGTACATTGGTGTACTTGAGGAATTTTACCCAATCTGATGCCTTCTGGATTGGTGAGCCTGCAATTCCCAAACGTTGACCAGACTGGGGAAGAGTCACTTCTAGTACTCATAATGTTGGAGTAAATGGATCAGTGGTTTGACTGTACAGATAAAATTCTGTGTATAATACAAGTCGTTTGTATATTATTTATTTATTTATTAAACTTGTACGCTGTCCATCTTATCAGAGGTGGCATACAGACATTCAATTAAAATTCAATATAAAACATTAAATCAATAAATAAGGACCATAAGTTTAAATTTCAATTAAAATAAAACTCATGAATGAAGGCTAATATACATGTCCCAGGACAATGTAGCAGGATCCAATCTGGAGCTAGAGAATAGTTCCCTGAAGATGAACTCCAGTTGACTTCTGGTGCAGACAGCCAATTAAATGATATGCCCAGGGAAAGATCCCTGAAGGGTTTTCCCCTGGCTGTCACTTTTTCAATTTACCAACAGAAGGAATCGGCATTCCTTTAGTTTATATGACTCTCCTGGGTTAGGGAGAGTTCTAGAATCATTCCGCAAAATCCACCATACAGCAACCATCTGCAAATACCGTAGTTTTAGGAGTTGTGTTTCAAAGCACCCTGCATTTTGACAGCTGGAGGACAGGGCTGCAATCAGTTCATTATTGAAGAAGCAGCCATTTTGGAATTTATTTTTCAAACAGACAATAGTGCCTTTCATTTCTTAATCATTTTTAAGGACTATTAATCTTTATCAAACTAAGAGAAGCTCTCTTTAGCCACAGCCTGATATTCCTTTTTGAAGATCTGCAGCATTTGGGAGATTTCTTCATTGTTAAACAACAAGAAGCCTGCGAAGGCAAGCTAAAATAAGGAAGTGTGGAGTATTTTTTTTAATTAATGGAGAAATACAAGGGTAGAAAGTTGTGGTTGTGGTTTATTATTTTTGGTTATTTGTAGCTTGGTCTACTTTGCTATGGGTGGCTAAAACTTTCCGATTTTTATGATTCCTGATTGGCCGGCAATTTTTCTGTGACTTACAAAAAGCTACTCTTTCACTAAAGAGGGAGATAAGATGTTAAAAAAAATACTCCAGAGATGCAAATATATGTAGAAAGTTATAAAGCTACTTCTACATTATCAATGTAGAGGAGTCAATTGCAATTTTGGAATATAAATCTGACATCAATATTTATTATGATGGTTTAAATATAAACCTCCCAACGCAGTTGAAAGAAGAATTCCAAGAAAACCTGCAACTTTCAAAAGGACAAGTATGGAGCTTTTTCTTCATGGACACTAACAAAGTTGAGAAATTATTGAGAAAAAGATACGTTTATAACTACTTGATCAACATTCCAGAGAAGAAAAAGATTTTACGAAGATAAGCTGGAAGGAGTGACTTAAACTTAAGGAGTCAATTGGCATTAGGATGGATTTTTATCAGACTGACATTTGTAATTGAAATAAAGTTTTAATGTAAAGTGGGGTCTGAAAATGCATTTTTCCCATTATATATAATGCTTAAGTAATTCTTGAAGCTTGTAAAATATTACAAGATGTATTTGAAAATATTTTAAGAAAAAAGTTAAAGAAAAATATATATTGGCTTAAAGAATAGTTTAGAGTTTTAAAAATGATGTATACAAGAATAAAAAAATTATTTTATGAGGATAATTTGGAGGGAGTGATTTAAATTTAATGAGTTAATTGGAGTTAGTTGGAACTTTATTGGTCTAACTGAAAGTGAACTTTAAAGTATGTAAGTTAAGAGGAAGTTAAAAAAAAACGTATTAGAACTCTTTGATCTTAAAAATGTTTTTAAACAAAAAATAGTGTTTTAAAATAGATGGGGGGGAAGTATTTTTTTCATTAATATTAAAGAATCAAAGAATTGAATGAATTTTATTAATATAAAAGGTGTTAGTTTATAAAAAATTATTAATTGCAAATAGAAATATATATTATTTCCACAATAAGGAAGAAAAAGCAGGAATGATTGAATTGATTGCTTTATTCAAAGTGTGTGTGTATGTGTGTACATATATATTATATGTCATCACTGAGGCTGAAATCAGACTCAGAATGTTTTAGGGAGCTTGTATAATAGAGTATTTCAAAATAATTTGTCAAAAATTCCAAGGCAGCATTTTAATTCATAATAATATGCACAAATATACACCAATACTAAATAGTCCATTGATACCTTACAGCAGAAATTTAAAAAAAGGAAGTTAAATAATTGTAAAAACAATATATGTTACCTTGTGGTCCAATAATATCTAAGTTTTAATAAGATTATAAACGAGTGGCCTATGGAAAAAGAATGTTAATCATGTATTTCCTATTTTCTTTGACATTGGATCCAGCCTTCATTTGTTCATCTCTCCTCTTATTGACCTTGTACATGTCCTTGTTCTGTGCCTTCCTCTCCCTAATCCATGCTTCCACTGTGTAAAATGTGGGAATCTCTGAACATACCTACCTGTTATGGTTTTAAGAAAGTTTAAATGACTAACAAATTACAGAGGGGTATTGCTAGAAAATATACAACTTTCTTCTTATGTAATCACAAACATAATTGTTAATGTGTCCCACTTCACAGCAGCTGTTACTTTTCACCCAATTTGCATTGTCTTTTTTTTCTCCAATGTATTCCTTAGTAGATTGCAGCTGTCTTTTAGGCTTTATAAGATTTATCAATATATTAAGAGTTTTTCTGATCTGAAGGAAGACAGCCTTTGAGGCCTCAATGCCGTTTCCTCTTGAATTCTCCAGGTGACTATAGAGGTTGTTGATGGAACAGAGTCTGAATCGGAGAAAGGTCTTCAAAGAGAAAGTAGCAAAACCAGCTGGCCTGTCCTGTCCCCAAACTGGAGAAACTGGTGGCAAAGATCCGCACCTTCTATCACTCGCATGAGTAGTGGTGACCAGGATTACAAATACGATAGCACGACTGAAGACAGCAACTTCCTAAATCCTTTGAATGGCGGGTGGGAGAGGCATCCATCAAGTCATCGGATGTTTGAATCAAAGGAGCAGCCCGAATATGGTGAGTGAGCAAGAACCTCACTGGCAAATGTGTGGACAAAACAGGAGTCCATAACAAGGGCGGAATGTTTGTGCATGCGGATAGTGAATAGAAGGGGCAGGAACAGTCAGGTAAAAATCAGACTCAAAAGGAAGGCAAGTGGATGTGGTCCTATTCACAAACATCAAGGCTTCTGTACTGACAATGAACCTGTTTAGAAGCAGTGGAACTTCACAGAGTCAAAATGGTACCACCCAGACAGAAAGATATGTTAAGCAGGGTTGTTGGAATTTCTCCAGAAAGAGAAAAACAAAACAAATTAAACTCACAAATTATTAAAAAGGCTTGAAAAACAATACAAAGTGGGCAGGGGTGGGCTGCTACAGGTTTGCCCGGATTCAGGAGAACCTGTAGCTAACGTTATGGCATGTTCAGAGAACCTCCAAATCCCACTCCTGGCTGGCCTCTCCCACTCCTCCCACCCCAACCATCCCCTTCCAGGAGTCTATATGTGACCCCTTTTGGATATGAGGTAAGTGCAAGGCCTGCACAGTTTCGGGGAGGGGGGAACATGCCTCCTGGAAGGCCTCCAGAGCCCAGGGAGGCAGTTTTCACCCTCTCATTGGGTCAAGGAAAGTCTCCAGAGCCTTGTCAAGGTGAACCCCCCCCGCTTTTGTGTTGTCTCCCCCCCGCGCTTTCATGCAGGAGGACAGCTAGGCCATGCCCACCCAGCAACCGGGCAGAGAACCCATTGCTGAAACTTTGAAGCCCACCCCTGAAAATGGGTAGGAAAGGGCATGACTGACTGGAATACATTTAGTAGAAATCTGCATTGCAATGTTTTGCTGCAGGGCTGACTACTACATGTATAAATCTTCAACCAGCATGCAGATTGGATCTATTTTCAACAGCCAGGCTTTTCTGGTGTCTACTTCTGTTTTCCTATTTTTTGTTTTGTCTCTTCCCTTTCAGATTACATAGAGGGAGAAGGAGACTGGAGTCTGTGGTCAGTTTGTAGTACAACCTGTGGAAGTGGCAATCAGAAACGCACCAGGACCTGTGGATATGCCTGCACAGCCACTGAATCAAGGACATGTGACCGACCAAACTGCCCAGGTAGGAAATAGAGAACAGAATTTTTCATAGCCATGAGCCATATACAGGTATCTCTCCCCCCCCCCCATGTGTGTGTGTAGATCTAGACCAAATCATTTCTAGTACAAAACAGAGCTGCTCAGGTATCTGGAACTATTACCTTGCTTGCATCTTTATAAAGCACAGAATGACATAAAGGCTTCTCAATCACACTTTTTATTTAAGTACCTTCCATTTTTTTGGTATGGTCTACAGACGGTTGGCAGGAAAAAAAAGTGCATTTTTTGCAAAATGCACTAGATGTAGTACTGGAATTAAGAATCTCGTGCATCTTCTAATTGTTCCTCCCATTATGTAACATTAAGATAATATGAAATCTTGAAGGTTGTGTAGTTAAATCAGATTTCAGAGCACTAAGAAAAGTTATACTCTGCAGTGCTGTTCAAGGAAGAGTGGCTGAGATCAAGATAGCACATGCCTCCTTTGTCTCAGGCTCCTAATTTTGAAGTAAGTGATGAGTTCAGCCACTGGAGTGCTCCCTTTCTAATACTTTCTCCTCATGCCTCTATCACACTGTTTGAAATGCAATTAGAGAACATCTTCTGTGACTCAGATTGTAACATTTGCTGTACTGAACAATAGCTTCCCAGAAAGTAGCACACACTCATTTAACAAGGGTAATCTTTCAGCAGTTCACAAAGAATGCTGCTTACTTATTAATAATAAGTAAGTAATAAGTCAACTTTTGAAGGTAGGGTGGGGACTCCGGCTCTGGTCAATTTGCTGATCGGCTTCTCTTTCCACCAAGAGAGCAGGACTTTCCCCACTGCATACTTATCTGCAAACCAAATGCAAATTTTCAGATGGCCCTTTTAATCACCATTCAGAAATTTGAAATGTCCTAGGTCCATGATGGCGAATCTATGTGCCACAGGTTGCATGTGGAGCCATATCTGAGGGCATGTGAGGCGTTGCCCTATGTCAGCTCCAGTATGTGCATCAGCTGATTTTTGACCTTCCGGAGGGCGGGGGAGGCCGTTTCTGCCCTTCCCAGGCTTCAGGAAAGCCTCCGGAGCATGTGGATGGTGAAAAACGGACCCAACGGGCCTACCGGAAGTTTGTTTCCGAACTTCCAGAAACAAACTTCCGGTTTGCCCATTGGGCCATTTTTCGCCCTTCCCAGGCTTTCCTGAAGGGTTGTGCGCACATGCACATGGGGGGGGGGAGGACATTGCATTATGGATGTGGGCATGCGGGCACACACTATTATGCACGTGCATGCCCTTTTGGCACCCGAGCAGAAAAATGTTTGTTGTCACTGTCCTAGGTAAACACGGTTATGGCTATTTTATGATTTAATGCAAGCAGGAGTTACGATGAATTCTAATCTTTTGTTGGGCAGAAAGTACAATATTCACACCTGTAAAAATGCAGGTTGCATATATTATTTATAATTTGGCTGCTCTAAAAAGCTTCAAATAATAGACTTGCATCAGGCAAACTCAAGAAGAATATAGAAAATGTATTTCTGTAAATGATAAATCATTTTGCTGTTTCTTCAAATTTCTCAATGCAGTGTGAAGGATCTAAACTGCAGAACGCTGAGTAGGGGCAGGGTTTAACTGCCTTAAAAGTTACATATTTCTTATTGGGAGTACTGGGACTTTAATCCCTGTTCCTTGGGGATGGGATTTGAGTGAACTCAGAGATTCATGGCTTCCATGTTATCCATGGGCCTGTCCCAGAAGTCTCAAGCCTGATAAATGCATTGGACTTGGTCTTTACTTCAGAGCAGATTCAAAATAATCTGAAAATGCAAGACATCGTCATCTGTACTTGTAATTTGTAGTCAGATCCTGTTCTGATGTATGCACCCATTGTTAGCATACTGGGACCATTGCAAAGGTGAGGGACCAATCAAGATGGTCTGCCCCATGCAACTGATAGACCCACCGCGTTTTCTGAGGCACTTGGAGAATTACCCAACTATCTTGTAGGCAGTTCTGACATGCATCTTGCTCACTTTTGAAATTGAAAGGAGCAAAGGCCTTGTCACTGGAGAAGATTGTTTCCCTTCATGAATCCTGAGGGTTTTCAGGGAGATCCTATGGGAGATGAAGGAGGTGAAAAGACACCTAGAGCAATGGTGGAAAAAAGCAAAGAGTGAATGTATAACCAAACAAGGTAGCATTCCCATGTTTGAGAAAATATCATAAGAATTGTGAAGTGTGCACATTTCTCCATTGTTACTGTCTTTTGCAGCTATATATCTAGCACCTCTGTTTAAGATTATATTCCTTCCTGGAGAGGGACAAGTGTGAAAATATTCCTGCAGGCCAGTGGTGGGATTCCAATTTTTTTACTACTTGGCTCTTGGGCATGGCTTTGTGGGCGTGGCAGGGGAGGGATACTGCAAAATCCCCACTCCCTCCCCATCCCACTAACCTGCTTTCCAGCTCCGTTCTCCTGTTC